ATATTAATGATAATTACCTTCAATAAATTTCCACGAGTTATTTATTTTAGAGAATTACTAGCAACTTTGCAGTCACTATGTGACTGCCGTTGTTTGTAAACTATAAATAAATGAAATTTTGCTTTGATAAATAATGAACTTTGTTAAATTGCACTGTACTTTTTTTTATATTGACGTTTTTAAAGATATAAGCTTATCCTGATGTTATACTCATTAAGAGCTTTCATTTGAGTACCCACATGCATTTTTGATATATTTTTCATATATACATATATATAATATATATAAATATATGAAAAATCGATGTGGGTACTCAAATGAAAGGTCTCTATGAGTGTAACATCGGGATGAGCTTATATCTTTAAAAATGTCATTAGTTGACAAAATACAATGTCATTTCTTAATTATTGACGTTTTTAAAAATATAAGCTCATCCCGATGTTATACTCATCGAGACCTTTCATTTGAGTACCCACATGGCATTTTTTATATATTTTATATATATATGATATTTGTGAAATATATAAATATATAAAATATATAAAAAATTGATGTGGGTACTCAAATGAAAGGTCTCGATGAGTGTAACATCAAGATGAGCTTATATGATATTTGTGAAATATATAAATATATAAAATATATAAAAAATTGATGTGGGTACTCAAATGAAAGGTCTCGATGAGTGTAACATCGGGATGAGCTTATATCTTTAAAAATGTCAATAGTTCACGGGGTACAAGGGGTACATTTCTTAATTATGTTTCCGAGATTTACCCATAAAAACCCATTTTATTATATAAATACACTGGCCACAAAATTTTTCTTAGTCTCTTAATAATATATATTATTTTTATTTTGAGAAAAAAACAATATAGAATTTTAATTAAAATAATCAAATTAGCAGTGAAGTAAAAAAAGGTCAAGTAGTAAAATCGATGAGCAGTCAGACCGTAAGTAATGTATCTTCTTAAATAATTTTACTTGATTTAAAAACTACTTGAGTAATATTATTACAAGTACTCTCGTTAGTTCGGGTCGTATCGATTGAATGGCTCTTACCTCTACTGAAAAATAAGATGACACTAAGTAATTAAAAAGCCAATTATAAGAAAGATTCCCTGGCCAAGTCGCGCCTGGCCAAGCAAGGAGAGAAAAAATAAAAAAATTAAAGAAGAAAAAAAAAGTCACAAGCAAAGACAGAGAAGGTAGAAAAAAAAATAGGTGGCTCTTACTCTCTATCTGACTAATATAAGTATTAAGTATTGTACACCTCTCGGTTTTGGATCGGAAGCTCAAGAGTTTCGGATATTGTAGAGTGCGCGAGCGGGCGAGTGAGTCTTGGAAGACGGCCAAAAATTCACGGAGAAGGTCACAATCTCAACTTACTGTATAGTATAGCACACTGCACACTGCACACTGCCAAATTGCCGAACAGCAAATTCCATGGAGTTGAATAATCGCGCGTTTCATTGATTCCCAACGGCAATGGCAATTCGTTCTGGCCAGACGATGTTATTCCACCCAGCTGCAGTTTCACTAACTCCATACTCTATACTCTATACGCTTCCTCATTTTATTCAATAGAAGAGTATAATACACGTATATACGTATACATACTCTGCTGTGCTATTTCTTTCACCATCTATATCAAATAGTTTTCCGCAATGAATAAATTTATTTCTACTACCCAGCTACCCAAATTTTGCTAATAAAACTTGTTTTACTTTTTTCCCGTCCAATTATTCAATCAAATTTAATGTGATAAATTGTGTCTATTCATCTAAAACTTTTTCGCTTATTATTCCGAGGTATAATTTATTACTTATTCAAAAATTGCGGTATCAATACTTCCATTTCAATTCATCACATTATTGAATTTTAAATATTAATAGTCCGGCAATTTTAACTGAAATTTAATAAATATTATAAACGTATATCATTAAAAAGCTTATAAAAAATTATGTTTTTACATAGTAATTATTTTATTATTATTTAATTCATTTATTAACGAAATCTCCAGATGCATAATTAAGAAATGACCTTGTATCTTGTGAAATATTGACATTTTTAAAAATATAAACTCATCCCGATGTTACACTCATCAAGACCTTTCATTTGAGTACCCACATCAATTTTTTATATATTTTATATATTTATATATATTATATTTATGTATGTATGAAAAATATATCAATAATGCATGTGGGTACTCAAATGAAAGCTCTTGATGAATGTCACTTCGGGATGAGCTTATATCTTTAAAATACATATTATATATATTACATAATTAAGAAATGACCTTGTATCTTTTGAAATATTGACATTTTTATAGATATAAGCTCATCCCGATGTTACACTCATCAAGACCTTTCATTTGAGTACCCACATCAATTTTTTATATATTTTACATATTTATATATATATGTATATATGAAAAATATATCAAAAATTGACGTGGGTACTTAAATGAAAGCTCTTGATGAGTGTAACATCGGGATGAGCTTATATCTTTAAAAACGTCAATAGTTAAAAAAGTACAGGGCAATTTAACAAAAGCCATTATGTAATAAAACAAAATTTTATTTATTTACAGTTCACTAGCCATAGTGACAGCACGGTTGCTTGTTATTATTACATTGAGCCAGAATTTGAAATAATTAATTAAGAATCTAAAGACGGGTGATAAAAATAAGAAGGTATTTGAAAATATTTTAATGAGTAACGCACGGAGTTTATGTAATAAGTGGTTAGAGTAAAGTGATAAAAGAGAGAGTATACCAAGCAACGTGCGCTCAAATATACAAAGCTAATTAACGAAGTATTTATACGTAACTTCTCAGCTTTACTTTGAAGAAAATTTGTACTAGTTTGATGAGTAAGAATTGTTATTAGGGTGTGCGTAATTGTATAGAACGGGGTTTCAAATTAAACGAATTCAAAGTTGTTTAAAGTTTAATTGCTCAACTTTATTTTATTTTTAATTAAAAACAAACTAGTTGGTTGTAATTCGAACTTATATTCATATATTTAAAAATTTCCTTCCACAATTATCCTTTTCATCCGATCATGTTATTCAATTTTCAACGACATTAATCACAACTTATTTGACCAAAAAAAAAAAAAAAAAAAAAAAATAACAATAACAATAAAATAGTTTGATTTAAGCTTGAGCTTTTGGGTGAATAAGTAAACTTGTTCACTTGAATTAAACTATTTTTGTCGAGCAAGTATCTTCCGCTCTAACTCACTGACGTCCCAACTATTGACATACCTAATAGGATCCGCTCTTGAAAATCAATTCCAGAAATTTCGAGCCCTTGAAAGTTTATTTCGAGATTTCTCTGCATCTTTCCTTAAAGATAAGGTAAATCTCAGTCAAACACTTTAAAAAAGGGACTTTGATATTCGTCTCAGTAGTGAAGAATTTACTTTAGTCAGACAATGATGAGTCTAAAAAGTCAAATTACATTAAAAGCACGTAGTCAAATTCATTTAAACTAACAACTAACAGACACTAATGTCTGCTGAAAATTTTTAATTATAAATAAAAAAAAACTTTCAGTTAATTATTTTTCGATATTTTTAATTACAATATACATAATTAGGGCCTCTTCAAAAGTTAAAGAAATAATTTTGCTGACAGGATTGATTATCAATGAGTTAATAGAAAATTCGACGGAATAAATTTATAGAACCAACAAACAATTCAAAACTCCTCTAAAAACTCGACAAAAAATTGACTTTTACTAAAAATATATAAAATTATGAAAAATCACAAATTTAATACAAAAAAAAAAATATTAATTTAAATTACGATCTTTCTAATTGAACCAAATTTCACTAAAGAAATTTATTTTATAACAAACTAGCAACCTTGCAGTCACTATGTGACTGCTGTGGTTTGTGAACTATCAATAAACAGAATTTTGCTTTATGAAATAATAAATTTTATTAAATTGCACTCTACTTTTTTAACTATTAACGTTTCTAAAGATATAAGCTCCAATGTTACACTCATCAAGAGCTTTCATTAGAGTATCCACATGCATTTTTGATATATTTTTCATATATACATATATTTAATAAATATTTTAAAAATATAAGCTCATTCCGATGTTACACTTATCAAGAGCTTTCATTTGAGTACCCACATGCATTTTGATATATTTTTCATATATTAGTATATAAAATATATATAAATATATGAAAAATTGATGTGGCTACTCAAATGAAAGGTCTTGATTAGTGTAACATTGGGATGAGCTTATATCTTTAAAAATGTCAATAGTTCACAAGATAAAAGGTCATTTCTTAATTATTGATATTTCTAAAGATATAAGCTCATCCCGATGTTACACTCATCAAGAGCTTTCATTTGAGTACCCACATGCATTTTTGATATATTTTTCATATATACATATATATATATAACATATATAAATATATGAAAAATTGATATGGGTACTCAAATGAAAGGTCTTGAAGAGTGTAACATCGGGATGAGCTTATATCTTTAAAAATGTCAATAGTTCACAAGAAAGAAAGTCATTTCTTAATTATGTATCTAGAAATAGAGCATTTTTGAAGGCAGCCTAAATACTTATCATCATAAATTGACTATTAGTGATAGAGAATGATATGAAACCTTGAAAAGGCACAAATTTGTACCATGACCTTTCCAACGATATTAATTTCAGTTTAAACTCTTTATATTCTATGTAATGTATTTTTTCTCTTGGCATATAGATTAAATAAAAATATCAAATAAATACGCTGGAGACAGAATTTGAAGATATTCATAGACATTAAAAAAAAATAAATAGTGAGCCACGCCCGATTCGAGGTCACTAGTCAGTCTCTTTAGGTCAAAGATGTACTTAATTTAAAAAAAAAAAAAAAAAATCAAGTACGTTCCAAATTTTATTCATTGAAGTAAATACTTAAAAAAAGTTATTTTCTTAGAATTTGTCTCCGCTGTACACACGCTGCCGTCGAAATGAATGCCCGGGTGCATGACAGCAGAGGTGAAGCACACGACAAACACGCATTGAGATGGTAAAGTACAACACGCGCAAGTCGAGGAGAACATGAAACGTTGATGCTTAGTATAGCAAAACGTTCTTCAGACGCCTCTCGTCTTCCGGGATTCGAGGGAGTTATTTTTCTTTTCATTTCCATTCTTACATTCTTTTTCTTCTTGGTCGTTTTCTGGTGCTACCAGCTAGCTCTTCTTACTCGAATGCTTACATCATCCTCAGGAGAAATGAGACGTGAGACTTTTCAAGCACCTCTTTTATCCCAGACAATTCCGATGTATCTATTATTAATTCGAAAAAAGTGTTTACAGAAACTCATTCTTTGTGCTTTATTTTACTTCGGCATACGTATGACAGTCATTAAATTAGTTTTTTTTATTTAACTTAATATTTATTCTCTATTTTTTTAGTCATTGGCAATTAATACATTTTATTTAATTTTTTTTTTTTAATATTTGATTCATTTTTTTCTCCTTTTTAATTTTAATCTCAATTTCTTTTAGGAAATTTAATACCTCGAGAAAACTTTAGACTTAAAAGCTGTTAATGCACTTAAATTTACGTTGAATTTCATTAAAATGTATAATTAATAAGCTAAGGAGTTAATTTGTTATTTAATAACGCTCGAGGTGGAAAAAATTTAAGTATATTATTAACTTAACTCTGAAAGTTTTGAAGAAATTTTTTTTTCATAATTAACAGCAAAATTCTGTTATAAAAAATATAGATTTATTCCTCTTAATTTAATTAAAAATTTTATTGTTAGGAATTTTAATTTTATTAATATTAATTTAATAACTTATAAGCTCATAAAAAATTAATAATTTTAATAAAAAACGATTTTTAAAAATCATCTATTCAAAATTTTATCATTTAAACATTTTAGTAACTTCTAATCTCCGATAGGTGGCGCATGATTGCTGAACTATCTCGCTACAAGAGAGTAAAGTTTGAGGATTTAAGTATCAAAATAAAAATAATAATTACTCTCTTGAGGATCTTATTGATACGTTCAAAAAAATTTCAACTCGAGTAAAATAAAAACTAACCATAGAATAATAATTATACTTACAGATAATAAGCTACGACTCGAGCAGAGGTGGCGTCTCGGTAGTAACGGAGAAGGGTGACAGTACGACAAGTTTTTTGCTGGTTCAACATGCCAAGCCCTCTGACTCGGGACAATACACTTGCAATCCAAGCAACGCTCAACCCAAGTCGATTACCGTTCACGTCCTCAATGGTGAGCACCAACAAAAACTTAAATAATGTCTTACCATTTTCAATGACCGATCAATTGTGCTCTAAAGCTTGAGTACCGAGTTTCTGCCCCTGACATCATACAATAATTCAATAGACAGATTTTTTATCTCTTTTAAAGACAATGTCTGAATTAAAACCGACTGAAAAAATTCCACTAAAAGCATCTTCTATAAATTCAAGATAACAAAACAATAGCTAAATTAAAAGGATTTTCCATTGTCTTTATCAATAATAAGAATTATAATTATAATAATAATAACTAGTAACCTTGCTATAAAAAAAATTAAAATTTTACTTTATTTAATAATGAATTTTGTTAAATTGCACTGTACTTTCTAAAATATTGACGGGTTTAAAGATATAAGCTCATCTCGATGATACACTCATCAAGAGCTTTCATTTGAGTACCCACATGCATTTTCATATATTTTTCATATATACATAAATATATAAATATATAAAATATATGAAAAAGTGATGTGGTTACTCAAATGAAAGGTCTCGATAAATGTAACATCGGGATTAGCTTATATCTTTAAAAATGTCAATAGGTGACAAGATACAAGGTCATTTCTTAATTATTGACATTTTTTAAGATATAAGCTCATCCCGATGTTACACTCATTAAGAGCTTTCATTTGAGTACCAACATCACTTTTTCATATATTTATATATATTATATATATGTATATATGAAAAATATATGAAAAATTGATGTGGGTATTCAAATGAAAGGTCTCGATGAGTGTAACATCGGGATGAGCTTATATCTTTGAAAATGTCAATAATTCATAAGATACGAGGTCGTTTCTTAATTATGTTAAATTGCACTGTACTTTCTTAAATGTTGACGTTTTTAAAGATATAAGTTCATCTCGATGATACCCTTATCAAGAGCTGTTATTTGAGTACACACATGCATTTTCATATATTTTCCATATATTCATATATATTATAAATATATAAAATATATGAAAAATTGATGTGGGTACTCAAATGAAAGGTCTCGATGAGTGTAACATCGGGATGAGCTTATATCTTTAAAAATGTCAATATTTAACCAGATACAAGGCCATTTTTTAATTAAGAATCTAGAGATAAAGGATATTAAAAAGGCACAAATTCAAATCAAGACCTTTCTAATTACACTAAACTTTACTAAAAAAATTCGACTATCCTGGAAGCAAAACTCTTCTTATTCTCTTAATAACAAAGATAATAATAATAATAATAATAATAATAATAATAATAATAATAATAATAATAATAATAATAATATTAATAATAACTGCTTTCAGTCGAAACGCCGGAAAGCTTGTTTGAAAACAAATTAATATAATAACAATAACAAACATAAATAGAAACAGAAACAGATATTTGTAGTGTGTTCCTATGTTTCAGGAGAGTATCCTGCGGCAATGCAGCATGGTGGTCAAGCGAAGCAACCACGATTTTACTCGCTCCTCCTATGCCTCTGTCTACTACTCTATTAAAATTATTAAACTTTTGTGTTCCGGTAAATCTTATAAAACCAGTGCAATACTGACATGCATTAGACCTTTGTTCAAAGGCCACTGTATAAATTATATATTATAATTATTATTATTGTGACTATTAATTTATATATGGATATAGTTATAAATTATAAATATAAATATATATATATATATAAATATATCGTACATTTAGTTACGTAAGGATGTACTATACGATAATATAATCGAAAGAGATGCAAATTTTCGAGAGATAAAATAATTATTATGATAATAATGAGACTAGTTATCATTTAATATAAAGGATCTATTATTACTCAGAGGAATTTTAACATGCATTCGTTCCGTGCAGAACTGACCTCAGCGCCCTCGTCAAAAATTTTTCTAAGTTCTGTAGAAATTTTTTTTAATCTTTAATTTAATAAAATTCATTAAAAATTAACTAAATAATATTTATTAATAGTTAACAAATTCTTCTATCAGCGTGTAATTAATTTTAAAAATTTTTAATAAAAAAATAAAAATAAAATGATCAATTAGAAAATTTAATTTTTATTTTTTAATGTATAAAATAAAATTTTATATCTATAGAATTTAATTACTGAATTCATCACTACTGGCGCTGACTCCGTTCTCTACGAAGCGAGTCGACATTCATATATGTATATTATATATATGACCACTCAGATAATTAACGTCAGGTATATAATAAAATAATTAATTAAGATAAATTCTAACAAAAAGATTCTTGTGACTGAGAAAAATTGACGATAAAAATCAATATCAATTATTTATAATAATTAAATTTTATAATTTGATATTTGAAGACTAGAACAAGTATTTTAAAACCTCAATTACTTTCGAATAAATTTAAATTTTAATCTGCGAGTTTTTAATTATCGAAATAAATCATAAATATTATTAAGAACTGATAAGAGTAATTCATTAATAAATTTTAATATTTTTAATGGTGATTATTTAAAATTTATAAATATGCTACACATATTTTTAGTTAATTGAAATTCTGCTCTCGAGTAATTTTATAAATCCACTGGATTAACATTCCTCCGTACACATAATTTTCGTAAATATTATAAAAAAGAATTATTTTACCTCTAATTATTTTTACTTATTTGCTTTTCATTTTATGTCGTCCCAGAAGATGAGTACCGGTAGGATACATCAATTCGAACTGTACATGGCAGTCTCGACAAAAAAGTAAAACCCCTTGTGACCTTAATATGCCAAAACAGTGGAACAGTAATGCTTCGTGAAAAAAGTATTATTTTATTTTGTTATTTGCTTTTTAATGGAATCATGTCGCAGTTCAATTTATCCAAATGATAGCTAAAAAAAAATTTATATCCTTTTTTTTTTCTCATACGTAAAAGTAAAGTCTGGTTATTAAAAAATTTCTTTCACGTCCATTATTGTTCGTGACCAGACGCAGAAAAAGATCGTAATCATGCTGCGATATGATATAAGTAGTAAGAAGACTAGCACGTAGACAAGAAAACAAGTGCAACAAAACTCTCATCTCATCATTGCATCCACTACTACACAGCAGAAAACTCCTCTCTTGTGTATACGTCTCAACTTGAAGACACTTGTCTTATTTTATTGCGAGTGCGTTCTCATTACCGTTAACGAGTAAAAAAATTTCACGAGGGATAAGTTTTTTTATTTTTAGGTAAAAGAATAATTTTAATGAAAAAAAAAAAGTACTTGGCGTAATTTTTGTAAAAAATTAAATTAAAGATGTATTTGTTTTTAGTTAATCCTGTAAAATTTAAAAGACGTTTTTTAAGAGGATTGTTTAGTTTATAAGAAATTTATACGGGGATTATTTGACAAAATGAAAAAATACGCACAATAAAATAAAGTGTCTGTTTTTAGTTGAGGGTAGGAGACTAAAGTTATCTAGAGAAGGTTTTAGTCTTGAAATAAATGAAAGCAAGTTCGTTGATATGATTAGATAGGATAAATTTATGTTAAGAAGAAATGAAAATTGAAAATATTGAAATAAAACTCTTAGTCTTTTGAGTGAGTATAAAATATGTAGAGTATAAGTAAGAGACTGTGGGCAAATGGTTGATGAATTTTTATTGAGGAATAAAAAATTTAACGAGGAAAATTTTTTATTCCGAAGAAATAGACGTAGGACAAGTGAGCTTTTAGTAAATTCCGTGCGTGTATTTAAATTTTAAAGATACTTTTAAATGTTTGGGGTATTTATTTAAAATTTTCTCAGTCCACAACAGTCTGATAGGAATAATGATAACGATTAAAATAAGATAGATATTAACGATAACAATAATAATAATTGAAATAAAAAATAAATGACTCGATAATGTCTTTTCTAACTCTTGTCTCGCTCTCTGATGGGTCATTGAAAATGAATAAAAATTTTTTATTATTAAATCGATCCAACTGTACATATGTATTATTATTATTAAGAAAAAGCTTTAGTTGTTTAGTTCGTCTCGACAATACTATTTCCCAAATAAAATAAATAATAATAATAATAATAACATATTAAAAAAAAATAAAGTTAAATACGTAATGACCCCCTCGTATTGCAAAGTACCCTTTTGACTAGTCTGGTCTTATTTTTTATCCTTTTTGGTACAATATAACTATAAAAACAAATACCACTTTGAATTATACGTAATTTAAAACTACTCGATTATTTATTTCCAGCTTTATTCGCGTCATGACATTCCTGATGCTCGAGTTACTATAAAAATAAATATATTCGGTATTATTACAATAAGCGAGTTTTAAATAATCGGAGAGAATATTAAGAGTGATTCAATCTGGTCGTTTACACGATAAGCAATCTGCTGAAAATTTCTTTTTTATTATATTAATAAGTTATTATATATAAGTACCGTAAATTATTGAATATCAATAAATAACCTGTAATCGATAGACTAAATGTATAATGCCAGTGTAACTAATCAATTAATTTTATTATCTCTCGAAATCCCTCATTTCTTTTTTTTTTTCTTCTTTTTATTGATCAGCTATCATTAATAATATTTTTAAGTGGAACTTTTCTAAAAAAAATGAAATTACTTCGGGCACATGTACCTGAACAATTCGACACTCTTAATCACGAGGTCATTGATAAAAAAAACTAAACTGTAATAAATAATAAAATTACCATTTCAAACAGTAACATTGTGATTTTAACAATCACTTATAATATTTATCATTTAAATGCTACAATTTATTATTTACATGGAAGAAAATACTATTTCAAATTTGATTCAAGAGAAAAATTCTTAAAGCAGCAATATAATTGTCTTAAATTAAGACAAAATATTCTTGAATCATTAAAATTTCCTTAAATCAAAAATATTAACTTCTTAAAAATTATACAAATTTTTTTTTCCGTGATAATAATGTCGAATTGTTACCAGCGCCCACTTTAATGTCTAAAAAGTGTAAGCTTTGTGTGCAAATGATTAGTATTAAATATAAATTGTAAATAATAATTCAAATAATAATAATAATAATAATAATAATAATCCTGAAAATTACTAAAATATCACGAATATGTCCCTTGACATTAAACTTGATTTCTTGGACGTGTTAAAGTGAGAATAAATAACAAAGCAAAAACCAATAAATGAAATTGCTCAGTTTAAAATAATTCAAAGAACTGCATCTCAAAATTACTCTTGACAATTGACAATTGATGTTCAAAGTTTTAAATTTAAAGGTCAAGGGTCTCGGACTGATAAGCGATAATTAAAAACCTCGGAATAATGAAAAGAAAATGTTAACACTCTGTAAGTAAAATAATGCATAAAATAAAAAAATAAGTAAATGCAAAGACGTTAACTCCAATTACGTGGAAACAGGTCAAGCGACTGTAGAGTTCCAACGAGTTCTTTTGATTAAGATATCCGATACTCGAGTTTCTCTGCTGGGTTTTTCACAGAGAAACGGAGTTGTAGTAAAAGCCGGCGCAGACTCAGCGGAAAAATATAAAAAATACGAACAAAGGTCACAAGGATTGAGAAAAAGTTAAGTTAAATAAAATAAAATAAAATTCAATGAAAAAAAATAAATTTTTCTTACTGTGACGACGTTTGCTGAAACCCCGAGATCGGTTACACAGATATTTACCGATCTCTTTCAAAGACTCGAACAATATAATTCATACCTTAGACTCCTTATTATTAGATAAAACGGATTTAAACATATAAGTAAAGGATTTAAGAGTGGATTTGGTCCAAAAGTAAACAAATAAATTAATTTAACTAGAAGAAATATTATTATTATTATTTATTTAATATAATTATAAGTATAGGCGTAAGTATGTAAGTGTAAATATTTCATTATATATTAAGTATATCATGAATCATGACATGATTGTGTTGCGTTAAAAAGTATCTGGCAATCATCCGATGTGCTGAAAGTATAAACGAATGATGATGATGATGATGATAATAATTGTAAGAACTATTATTATTATTATTATTATTAATACTGTAATGAAAAATGGTTTTTTTATGCTAAACCTCATTGAATATATATATACATACGATATATATGTTATTATATACTTGTATCTTTTATTGATGCGCTCATAAATAATGTTTTAAGTAGATTTTAAAAACAAGTTAATTGTAAGTGTTTCATCTAGTTAACACGGTGTATATTGTATCTGTCATCAAAATAAAAAATGGAAAACAAAATAAATTATCGAAAGTGATTCTCTGCCAAATGAAGTTTATTTTATTATTATTTGAGAAGTTTATTTTTTAGATTAAGTATCCTAATATTTTCCTAAAAATGTCACAAAAGTACTTTTTACAATACTTTTTCTCTAATGACAACAATAGTTTTTTTTATATCTAAATTTGGTGTCATGAATTGTGTCAGGTTTAAGATCTTAAGCTTATGACTCTTTTAGGACAAGTTTTTTTGCTTTATTAAGTAGTGATTTTTGTTAAATTGCACTGTACTTTCTTAACTATTGATGTTTTCAAAAATATAAGCTCATCTCGATGTTATACTCATCAAGAGCTTTCATTTAAGT